AACCCTGCAGGCTTGGCCTGCTTTCACCTGGCTTATTCTTACCACCGTGGGTCGTGGGAAATGACCTCACTGCACCCAGGGAGTCTTCCTTAGTAATAAAAACAAAATGGAATGTTAGTATGTCTTCATTAAGAGAGATTAAATTCATTAACACAAATCCTGCCTCTTTATTGAAAGACCAAAAAGTAAATTAAAATCTCTGGAGCAAGAGGAATAACATCAGCATTGTTCATGAGGACAAAAAAGTGGAGAAAACCCCCAGCTCATTTTTTCATCGTCCTGAAAGGAGACACCAGTGAGCAGCAGCCACTGGATTTGCCAGCTGAGCACATTTCATATAGATGAAATCACACAATATGTGGTATTCTGTGCCTGGCTTATTTTACTTAATTGGAGTTTTTCAAGGTTCCTCCATGTTGTAGAATACGGCAGTACTTCTTTTGTGTGTGTGTGATGGACTATTGAATTGTATGGATGTGGCTCAATTTGCTTAGACTTTCATCAACTGATGCACATTTGCATTGCTTCTGTTGACATTGTAACTAATTCTGCTACGAACACTACACTCAGGTATGAGTTGTTCGAACGCCTATGTTCACCGCCTATATGAATATACCTAGGAGTCAAATTGCCAGGCCGTATTGGTAACTCTGTGTTTAACTTCCCCAGGAACTGCCAGACTTTTCCACAGCAGCTGCACCACAGCACACTCCCACAAGCAACCTATGAAGGTTACAACTTCTCCGCATCCTCACCAACACTTGCTGTTTTCTGAAGTTTTATTTTTTTATGAGCATCCTAGTAGATGTGAAGTGGTATCTTATTGTGGTTTTCATTTGCATTTTTCTCATGACTGATGACACTGGTCATCTTTCGTGAGCTTGCTGGCCATTTGAATTTCTTCTTTGGAAAAATCTATTTAAGTCGTTTATCCATTTTTAAATTGTGTTGTCTTTTTGCTGAATTGTATGAAGGTTTTTTTTTTTTTTTTAATACAGAAACGTTATTTCTGCTATCAAATCCTCGCAAACCCAAATGTTTCTTTTCTCTCTTCTCCTTACTCTCTCCTTTTTCATTCGTGTGATGCATATCAGAATAATGATCTTTTGTGTTGAGACAAACTGAAGCCTATTTCCTTTTAACTCTGCAATTAGATGAACCTGTGAACCTACGATCAAATGTTAACAAAATTAGCCAATAAGCTTGATTTTCTTCTTTGATTTCCTTGAAATGACGTGTCTCATTCTTTAGAATTATCCATGAAATGCTTCCCTGGGGATTGCTTTCTGGGTCCATGATTTGGAAATGGATTCCAGTCTGGAGGAGAAGATGTGTGATAAAATTTGATACTATTAATATTTCTCCCTCAAATGAGTTTATTTTCCAACATAGTTTGTTTCCCAACTATACAGAAAATTTCTAAACTGTCATTTCATAATGATTTGATTGGTGACTGTGCTGCTGGAAGCAATATGCCATCCGCGTTTACCTTGGATCCTTCCAAACAAGGTGCAGCGTGCAAAGAGTAAAGATAAAGTACAAAAGGTTTTTGTCTTATCTATAAGTCTTCTTAGTGACTTTTTTAAATGACTCAAACTTTTGAATATACACACTGTTTTTATCAATTATCATGTATGTATCATACAGCCACACTCTGTCTATGCACGGGATACATTCAGAATTATCATTATTCCTTGGGACCCTTGAAGTTAAGGTATTATCTTGGTGGGGAAGCCAGTTTTCCTAAGAGTCAAATGAAACTGCTTTCCCTTTTTTCAAATGAGAGATTTCAGAGATGTCTTCAGAACAAATGCACCATAGAGAAAGAATTTCACATTTTTTAATATGCTGAGTGGGACCCTCACAAATCTTTGTGCCTATCTTACAATTACTTAGTTCATGGCTAAAATTTAAGATAACCTTTTTTTTTTTTTTTTTTTTTCTTTTTGGCAGAGAGACAAAAGCAGCTTGGAGTGCCCACTTTCCCCTAAAGTCCTAACTTCAAAGGTGCTTTTATCAGGAACAGAAAGGTCTGTGAATCAGAGTCTCTGCCAGCGCCCACTGTCCTGCGTTCTCTCTCCAGACGTGGGAAGTTCAGAATGAACACCTAGCCCTTGCCTCTTCAGATGCTCACACTGTTTACCCATGCAGAAAGCCCAAAGCCACGGTTTGATGTTTTGTTTCCAAAATCCATTTCTAGGGAAGAGTCATGGTCAGATATGGTTGTTGTAGACAGGTTAAATAAGGCAGAAGACAGCTTGCAGAAAATATAATGATGCTGCTTAGAAGAATAATGAAGCACTGCAAGATACACCAATTAATATAAGCAAATTCAGAATAATATCTAGAGTCTGCTATTGTTTATATGAAAATGAGGTATGGATTAATCTCTGCTTCCATATACACGGGACACCTCTGGAAGGATTAATAAGATGCTAATAGCAATTGTTATGAAAGCCCAGAGGGATAGGAAGGAAGACGAAACATCCTTTTCACTTTCCACTTTTGCTTAAGATAATTCTAAGAGAAATAAATCTAAATGACCCTGGGACTAAAATCAAGTAAGGGCAAAATGTGCAGCTTTATCGACTGTACGTTTTAATACCACACATGATATAAACCCACGCAACAGAATCGTGTCCTGGCAGCCTCTGCTTTCACAACCCCCTTGCCCGATGTCTCCCACTCTCAAGTGGGTCTCCAAGCAGTATCCAGAGCCCACAAAGCTCCCTCCAGCCCAGGACGACACAGCCCTATGGTACCAGTCCCTGGGGGCTCTCTGCATCCCCACTAGGCTGTCACCTCCAACAGGGTATAACTCCATCAAATGAGAGAAGAGCCTGTCCTCTTCCCCCAAAGTAGACAGCATCCTGACTGTTCATAAATGCATTCATTTTGCCAAATTTTTGGAATAATGTGGTGTGTTTTCTCTGTTTCTTTTTTTTCTTTCAGCATGGTGTTTGCGAGGTTCGCCCACGTTGTTGTACGCATCTTGCTTTTCCATTCTTGTTGCTGTGTGGGAATACACTGTGTTTTATTGCTGTGGTAATTCACTATTTGGTTGCATTCTCTTGGCTGCAAGGAACTATGCTACACTGAATGTTCGTGCTCGTGTCTCCTAATGCACAGGGGGCTATGTTTCTGTTGGTAGGTGGGAGTGATGGTGCTGGGAGATGAGCTATTTACCTGCACCACTGTGGTGGACTCCACGGCTTTCTGCAGTCAGAAAACCTATCTTTACACAGCTATGTCTCTATCACCTAGCACAGCACTTGGTACTAAGTAGTCACATCCACATCAACACCGCTTCACTTTCCTTTTCAATCTACATCTATAGAACTATTGGTGGATCTCTGCTTCTCTGAATACCAGGAAGCAAGTCTATTTTTAGGCAGAAAGGGAAGGGTAGTCAGTACCTTCTGCCCACAGCCTTACTCAGTAGAGCAGATAAATATGCTCACGCTGATCAGTGTTCTCAAAAACCTATAAATGTCCCATTTTGTGCCTTCTCCACTCCATTTCATTCCATCATTCATCATATTTGCTGTCCTTCACAGGAGGGCAGGGAGGTTCAAGGGACCTTAAGACATGAAGGTCCTCTTTCTATTTGCTGTTCTCTTCTGTTTGGTTCAAACAAACTCAGGTAAATGTCTCCTGGTTAGCCTTGGGGAAGGTTAGCCCTGGGGAAGGTATGGCATAAATTCCATTTGTGTGTGCCTGTGTGGACAGTGTGTAGCTGTGTCTGTGTGTTGTTAGTGGGTGGAGGTGGGCCAAGTTGGGGCTCAGCCTTGGACAATCTTGATCTCCCCTTTGAAGTTTTTTAAAAGCTAAATACATGTTATAAGGGTCTTGACATAAGAAAAAAGAGTTTATTTGCTCTGATACAAATGGGAAGTACTCACTGAAGTCTCAGAAACGTTTTCAGAAGGAAGTTATACTCATACGAATGCCAGAGCTGGAAGGGAAACAGAGATTGTCTATAGCAGCCCTATGCTCCACAAAAAGAAAACCAATGTCCAGAGAGAGTATGAACTTGCTACTGTGCAATGAATAATCATGGCCATAGTAGGTCTTCACACTTATAATATTCCCCCTGCTTGCACATATAACACATTTTACAGATGGGCAAGCCAAAGTGTAACCAGTTAAATGACTTTTCTAAGGAGACATGATGAGATATGGGAAGAAGAAAGACCATAATCAGATCTCCAAGCTTCCATGCTAGGGGCTGTTCTGTCTTGTCTAACGGTGGAGCCCCCTTCTTCACTTTGCTGTCCCCTCAAGCTGAGGCAGGGTTGAGATGATGTAGAATCAGAGAGTAGACCCCGTTTGGAGCTTGCATGTTGCTGGATGCAGGAGTGTTTTCACCATCATGCAAGACCAACACTGTGGCTTTGTTGTTGCTGTTAAAGTCATTTTATGTGGCATTTGCAGATCTGACATAAGTGAGATCTTTCTTTCAACCATCTGTTGCCCAATATCCTGTTGTTACAAAAAATTTAGGTGGTCTTTTGTGACTTTAAAGCCCATAGGTACAGGTGAGGACACAAGTTTTATTTTCTCCTTTTCATTGTGGTACATAAAAGTAAAATTGGGCCATAAGCTGAGAATTGGTTAATATTTCTAATTTTCTTAGAGACCACAACCCATCCCATTCTGGACAACTTCTGTTTTCCGAAGCTCCCTTTGCTTCCTCCTAGTATACATCTCTTTCCAGGAAGCTTGAGGACCCTGATTTAAGAGCTGCATGGGCTTTTTAGGGCCTACACTGGCCAGGTGAGCATGCACACAGCACACCCCATCATCCTCCTGGCCAGATTTCAGATATAAATTATTGTTCCTGTTTTAAAGCTAAGAAGCCAAAGCTCAGTTAAATTGGGACTTGTCCAAAAGTGCTTAGCATCGTCAGAATATAGTAACCCTTGGCTGTGGGCTGGGGTCATCTTCTAGTCTCTGAACTGTGTGAATTAAATATCAACTCTCTTCTGTTGTATCCATAGCGGATGTTCCACCTGGAATTAGAAATACCATCTGCCTTATGCAGCAAGGGACCTGCAGACTTTTTTTCTGCCATTCTGGTGAGAAAAAGCGTGACATTTGCTCTGATCCCTGGAATAGGTGTTGCGTATCAAATACAGCGGAAGAAGAAAAAGAGAAACCAGGGAAGGATGGCATATCTGGGATCTAAAATATAAGCTCCTGGAAGACAGGGATCTTGAAGTATCCCAAAGGCTTAAAGGAATGTGTGGCTTATAGTAGGTGTTCAATAAATATTTGTTGAATGAATTTAGCACCAAAGGTGAAGAGCTGATAAAAAAAAATTTTTAACTTCCTTACTTCTCCATGTACTGCTTTTTCAAAGGGGTCTCAGAATTTTGTGATATTCCACTTGCCTTTAATAGTCCAGGGAATATCTCTCAAGCACCTTGAGATGGTACTAGTCTAGAAACCAAGCTCCACACTGATTTTCAGAGAGACATAAATGCAACCAATCTGCTGCTGTTTTCCATCTGATGGCGTCTTTCTTATCTCACCCAGCATGAGGGTTCTGCTTATACGCCCAGATTCTAATGCACCTTACCCCTTTTCCCTTTACACCTCCTCAAGCAATAACACCCAGAGGTCATGTTTCAGTGCGACAGTATTGTTCTCAAGCATTTGCTCTTAGGGTATTTCAATGGATTAATACAACGGTCTGATAGTATGTATAATAAGGTGCAAGCAGGTCCATTTCAGGAATGAAAGAGAAATGAAAATCCTAAGGTTAAGCACATTTCCCCAGGCTAGCCACTCATAAAGGGCATTCCCGGTATGCCTATCAGTCAAAACTTCTAAAAAACGTATTTTCATATTGCTTCTAAAAAACCTATTTCTGAGCAACTGAAGCAAGGCAGGACCCCTGTTCATGAAGATTCCTTGATGCTTAGCCACCTTTTGCCTCTCTCTGGCTCCTGCTTGAATTTGTTGAATACTAATTCCAAGACTAGTGAATACTAATTACAGGTAAGGAACGTAAGAAATAATAAAAACAAATGTGCTGAGGGGTAGAGACCACATGCCAAGCTTTTCCCGACTCAGATGACCCAGGAAGATACCGTGTGTCTCCGTTTCTGTTGCTGCCTGGGTCCAGTGTGCTCCTGAATGAGCTGAGCTACTTCACGAGCCCCCTAGAATGTACACTACGGGGCTGCAGTCTCAATTCTCAGCTCAAGTTGCAATAAATATTTGGCATAATGCCTTTGGCCTTCGCAGCCTCTTCTAAACTCACTCTTGGTTCTTTTTTGTTTTCTAAATACAATCAGACCCCAGAAGTGCACAGGATAAGCCTCTTTTCGGCACAGGCATCTCTGCAGGGCCCTCAGTCATGCCTTTAGAGGGGAGAGCCATCCTTCCATCCCTGAAGGGAATGACTTCCTGAAGGGCATTGGACCCAGTTAGCCTTGGCTCAGAGTGAAACACAGCAAATGTCCATGCCTCAGATCAGGCAGATGCATTCTCAGCCGGGAGTGGCACCACCCCACACCAGTAGATCTGTGCACCAGAAACACAAAACAACATGAAGGGGCCCTGGGGGGCTGAAGCCTCGTTCCACGAGAATGGGAATTCTGGGCAGGTGCCGTTAGATGGCAGCCCCTTCTCTTGGTCTCATGTTCCTTGGAAATGAAATGAAGGAGTTGGGCTCCATCTCAGACCCCATCAGAGCACAGCAGCCTGGGGGTGTGGAAGCAGAGCCTCACCCAGGGACCTAGGGGGTCTCCACCAGGCAAGGGGGGGAGGCTGGGAGCCCCATCCCTCCCTGCCAGGGTGGTGCAGGTGAGAACCCCTAGGGAGCCCTCGCAGAGTCCAGGACTGGCCAGAAGGGCGCTCGCATGGGCCCTCTGCCGTATTATTTAGTATTTTTAAGGTGGACCCCGGGCCTCAGCTGGTCTCTATTGTGGAAAATGTTATCTCCCCGTCATGTAAAATTTCTCCAAAGGAGCATTTGTCCGCCTGTCGGGCATGGTAAAAACTGGTACCTATGGTATTGCCCAGCACGAAACAGGCCTGAGAGTGTCTGCTGAGGCTTCTGGGAAATGAAGGGGTGGGGAGGGGAGCCCGCCCAGGCTCATAGAGTCCTCAGTGGTGGGCTCTGGAGTTGCTCTGCTTCCTTAATTTTTTTTTTTTTTTTTTNAAAAAAAAAAAAAAAAAAAAAACCTACAAGTTTTTAAAATAGACATTCAAGGTCCATGCCTATGTGCATGAGTAATCCTACAAGTTGTAGTGTTTCATTCAATCTATATCTAATCTTAGGGTCTAGGATCTGGAAAGCCTTCTCTAGAGTTTTGCCAAGTTTCTCAATCTTGTTTATTTTTGAGATGGAATCCTGCTCTGTTGCCCAGGCTGCAGTGCAATGGCATACTCTCAGCCCACCGCAACCTCTGCCTCCCGGGTTCAAGCAATTCTCCTGCCTCAGCCTCTCGAGTAACTGTGATTACAGGTGCGCGGTACCACACCTGGCTAATTTTTGTATTTTTGTAGAGATGGAATTTCACCATGTTAGTCAGGCTGGTCTTGAACTCCTGACCTCTGCCCACCTTGGCCTCCCAAAGTGCTGAGATTACAGACATGAGCCACCACGCCCAGCTGGAAAGTTTCTTAATCTTAAGTGGGCCCTGGTACAAGGTGTATGTATAAAAATGCTTTTATTATTATTTGATCAGACTTTAGGGTCTGAGAAAGCCCAGGTGGTGTCTTTTTTTTTTTTTTTTTTTTTTTTTACTTTTTGGCTGTTTTTTTCTTTTCTTCATTGTAAAGTGTCTCTGTGAGGCCTGAGAATGAACCTGACTGGATTAGCTCAGATACCAAATGAGCCCCCAAAACTGGAGTTTACATTTTCGTTCCGCCCCTCTGGGATATTGGGCAGATCTCCATAGCATCCCTGTCACCGTCTGTAAAGTGACAGGACTGAACTTAGTCCTAAAAAGTCCTGGTGGTGTTCTAAGACAGAATCCCCAAAAGGCTCTTTTACAAAGCCTGGAACGCCTGGGCCAAGCAGGCATCTCGGCAATATCAACACCTACCACGCGGGGGCGCACTGCCGCTCTAACGCAAGTTGTAGATGGGCTTTTTTGACCACCTGTTCTGAAGCTGGGCACTGGGCTCAGGAAGGAGCAGCTGGGGTCACCACAGGGGACAGCCAGGGGGCCCGGCCTACCAACACTTCTGGCCTGAATGTCAGTGGCACTGACTACAGTGACTCATTCCTCTGTTTCCTGCACAGGGTACCATTCATGCCAGGTGTGTGGACATGAGTTCAGACTGAAACTGCTGGGATATTTACTGAGGCATTGTGGTGCATCTGCTCTTATTTGGGAACAGGGACAGGCCAGCAGCATGGACAGTGCTGTGGGTAAGGAGAGTAGAGCCCTTCTCTTCCTGCCTCCTGTCTTCTGGAGTCGTGACCGCAGGGTGGCCCAGGCGGATGGGCCTCAGGGCCCAGCAGCAGCTCTCTACAGCGGGAGAGCCAGGGCCTTGCCACACGGTCCAGGGTTCGAAGCCTGGGCTGCCTCCCTGCTGTACTCCATGGACGGCCTTCCCCGGGCTCCATGTAAGAGAATGGAATGTGATCCTAAGTTTGACGATAAATAGAAAGTAGTGATTGCATCTACCCCATCCTGCCCTCAGTTCAGATCTGTTTTCAACCTGAGGATTCATCTGCCTTGTCTTTGCTAAGACACCTTCAGCCTGTGTTCAGGGGAAGCCGGGAAGAGGTGCTGGGAGACCCAGGACATTGCAAGTTGCTTCTCTGCCTGGCACTAGGAGGTGTGTGAACCCTTTGCTGACTCCAGGAGATGCAGGAGGGTACCTGGTGGTGGGCTGGGGCTCCAGCCAGCTGGCCGGGGCAGAAAGACCAGGTCTGGTCCAGTGGGGGCCCAGGATGTTTTTCCTGGCAAATCTTCATACTTTCCACATAGCTCTTTCTTCTGAGATAAGTATGATCATCTCCACTGTATCTCTAAGGAATCAGCTTCCTGAGATCACACAGTAACCAGGAATGACAGAGCTGTTCCCTCCTCATGCTCAAATTGACTCCAATTTCAACTCCACTCTGAAGTCTTCCTGGCCCTCTGCCCGCTTTCCTGCCTGGCATGGTCTGCTGCTCTACATCTCTGCCCCTCAGACACTTTGGGGCATCCTATCATGGGGTCTTGTCACTCTGTTGCCATTGTTCATTGACATATTTATAGTCCTCCCTCTAGACCTTGAGCTTCTCAAGGACAGAGCCTGGAACTCATAGATACTCACATTTACACTTTTAGTAACCAGCGAAGAACAGTAAGTATGAAATAGAGGAACGAATGAGTAAATTAATCTAAGCCTCAAACCGGGTCTTCTTCAGTGCACCACTACTGCCCTTTTTCATCCAAGCGCTGGCGAAGGTTTCACTAGGGGATGTGGGGAAACCCCACGGTGGCCGCAGCCACATCCTGGTCACAGCCCACAGCCTGCATCCTTGTCTTCTCTCTCACAGCCCCTGGGTTTCACCGCCTTCTTCCTCGTCTCATTTCAGCCACTCGCACTCCCATTGGGGTTCTCTTCTCTAAAACCCAGTCAGAAGGTGGGGTGAAGCCTTTATTATGGAGCCTCACAACAGAGCTGTGACCCCTTCATTTTCAGGGGCTTAACTCTTACCCCATGGGAGGAGGGAGACCCAATGCATGGAGGCTGGAGCAAAGGCTGGAGAAGTGAAGAGCCCCCGGCCCCCGAGTCTCCATCCTGAGTGTCTGCCCTGACAGCACGACATGTGCACCCTGCCGAGACCAGCTCGGTGATAGAGACCCCAACCCAGGCGGCGCTGAAGGAATTAAGAAACAGAACAAAGATAGAGTGAAAAAGTGGGGTCAGAGTGGGACGTCAGGGGTCTGCCAGCGTTTCCCAGCTGACAGCCCAGAGCAGACTCTGACCCACGTATGCATTCTTTGTGAACAAGTGACTATTTTTAATCAGCAGGTGCTCAGTGTTTCTTCAGAGCATAAAGATAAACAGGCAGATAGTGCCTGTTCTCTACTAAAACAGAAACAAGCCAGAAAGCACTCTGCGAGTCAGCAATGGGGACAAGGTCATGTATCCTGTGTTTTGGGAACTGGTTTAACTCATGCTGACCAGTACATACTGCTTGCTTATTCTAGCAGTTTCCTGCCTGGGGATAGCTCGGTGTTCTTTGCCATTGCCTCTCAGCAAACATATACTCCATCACACATATGTCAATACCTCCTCCCAACAGCACCCTCTGTCCCACCCTCATGGAATCACAGACAGAAAAGCGGCCCAGGATGCCATTTAACAAGGCCATCCCCTGGTGGGCCTCATGGCATCCTGGAAAAGCCCTGAACTGGGAATCAAAGCGCCTGCATCCTTGTCCCGTGTCTGCCATCCTTGACCTCACTGAGCATCGGCCCCTCCTTGATAATCTGAACACACGTGTGTGCTCTTTGATTTTGAAAACAAAGGATACATGAAATTCTTTGTGAACCATACAGGATTGGGACTATAGAGGTGATTCATTTTATTATCTAATATTTGAATCTTCTTGATTGAACTAAGACAGCAAATGCGATTGGAGATTATTGTCAACCTCAAGAGTACATGCTGCATTTTAACATCATGCAGGTGGAGTAATTTAGTGACTAAAATATACATATGCATATACATGTATACATTTACACTTGGTGTCTCATTATGCAATTATAGCCAGAATGGATTTTTTTTTTTTGAGACAGAGTCTCACTCTGTCACCCAGGCCAGAGTGCAGCTGTAAAATCTTGGCTCACTGCAACCTCCGCCTCCCAGATTTAAGCAATTCTTCTGCCTCAGTCTTCCCAAGTAGCTGGAATTACAGGCATCTGCCACTGCACCTGGCTAATTTTTGTATTTTCAGCAGACACAGGGTTTTGCCATGCTGGCCAGCTGGTCTTGAACTCCTGACCTCAGACGATCCATGCTCTTTGGCCTCCCAAAGTGCTGGGATTACAGGTGTGAGCCCCCGCGCCTGGCCCAGAACGGTTTTTTAAGTCATCCATGCGTGAGCCAATCCCCCAGGTAGGCTCCATGTTTAAACCTTTTAGATTTCATCTGGGCTCTTCAGATCGAGGCAGCCAGGCCTGTCCTGCCACCTCTTGGAACACTTGAATGTGAATAATTGTCACAGAAAGGTGAAGCTCTTGTCCTGCCACCATGTCAGAAGGTGATTTATTACCACCAAGTTCCACCCCCATGACAATCCTATGCTGGGGGAGACGACCAGGTCCATCCCGCCAGAAACTCCTCCAAACTCCTTTCCTTGTTCACACGAGGCAGAGATGGGCAGCACAGCTCTCCCATCAACTACCTGAAAATCCCTCTCAATAAAGGGATAAGACGGGTTTTAAACAAAACAAACAAGGAGACCTTTCAACGTGCTGCTCTTGCAGGTCGATAGGCTATGCGCACTAGTAATAACACTGCAATAGCTCAGAATACAAAATCCTCTTTTGGAACTGCCTTCCGCATCCCCCTCTATGCACACAAATAATGTCATCTGCGTGGAATGAAGCTAGTCTACCATGAACATTTATTTCTCAGCCAAGGACACCTGGACATTAGGAAATTCACCCAAGGCGCTCGGCTTCCTCCCTCACTCTGGGGAGAAGCAAGTGTCCGCACACACAGAAGACCACAAAGGGCATCTCTAAACTCCTGATGGGCCTCGGGAAGGCAAGCTGCCAGATGTTTAAGCTGTTTCCAGGATTCCTCCCCATGGAATGCCATGTGTGTGTTAGGTCACCTGCAGGCTGTTCCACAGGTGACTCCACTGGAGGCTTAGTCACAGGTCTCACCTGCAGGGAAGATGTGCCTGTACTGCCTCAATCTGAGAATGCACACAGAGGAGCAGCCCACCCCACAGACAGGCCAGCAAGGGCTTGGTGGTCACTGTGGGGGAGGCCCCTGGGATGGGACAGGAGCACCAGCACAGCCAAGGCCCAGGCGGATGCAGAGCTCAGAACAGATCTGTCTGTGTACAGGTAGAGAAGAATTCTGGTGCTGAACTCTCAGGGTCCCGGGCACCTACCGCAGGTGTACCTAGCAATGCCACCTCCCCCAGCTCCTTGGAGATGACTGAATGTTTTCTCCGCTCCAGCTCCTATGCTGAGCACGGCTCACGCATTTATCGCGGGCCACCTATGGAGTGGCATGAATATGTCTGCACTACAGATGAGACACCTAAGCCTCAGAGATGTGAAGTCCCTTACCCACAGCCACACAGCCAGGAGCCCACAGACTTTTACTACGTCTGTTTACAGGTTCAAGAGGCATGTCTGCAAGGAGCAAGTCAAGGTGGACCCAGATGGGCCCCCAACCTGGCCCACATTCCCTGATGCCACACGGTTCCTATACCATGAAATATCGAAGACATGCTGTTCGCCCACAATGTCACTTCTAGCTGTCCCTTCCTTAATAAATAGTGCTGTGACAATCACCGTGGTCGTGACAAGGTTAACAGAAGTCCATGCATTATGAATCGCTTTTCGCATTATACACTCAATCTGCAGTAGGTGGCCATTATTACCTAGCCATGAAGAAATGGAAACTCACCCAAGTTAAGAAGCTTGCTCAAGAGCGCACCGCTAGTAAAGCGGAAGAAAGGGTGAGTCTCCTGTTCTCACTTTGGTGGGAACCTGCGAAAGGAGTTTGGACTTTCTGCCAAGTGCCTGTATTCCTGGGTTTGGGCAAGGTGGAAAACGACTTGTGGGCTTTGCTCCATGCCACTCTGGGAAGCCACCTCAAGGTATTTCAGAGTTCACCTCAAGATGAGGGGATAAGGGACCCCTGCCCTGTCTCAGAACAAAGGAAGCAGACAGAAGCCTGGCAGGATGGTCCTGGAGCGAGGGGGATTTGTCTGTCCGAGCGGTGGGTACTGGGAGAAGCTGGTGAATGATTTTGCAATCAAGAGTCTCCCTCCCTTAGATCCATGTTAGCATAGCAGGGTTCTCCCCCTGCCATTTAGACTTCCAGGGAGAAGTTTGAATCCATTATTCCTACTTCCTACTCAAAAAATAAACAAAGGAAACAAATGGAACTCAAGGCACAGACACTGGCTTTAGCGGGCTGTCAAGGCCTAGAATTACCACCTTCTCATATCCCGGGACTGCAATGCAGGGTCGCAGAAAGAGGGAAGGGTCAGGCTCAGGCATGAGACCCATCACTACAGAGACTCCCCCAGCCACCGAATTGGGTCTGCATGGTGCAGACAAGACAGAAGCGTAAACTTGATGTAGCAGAGTGAGCTGGCTCGGCCCGGCTGAACCGGGCTTGCTACGGTGGGATCCTGGTACAGCATGGAACCTGAAAATGACAAGTGGGAAAGAATCAAGGAGCAAGCACAGGGAGACCAGCAGAGAGCAAAGCAGGTCCCAGTCCCTGGGCATGGATTCAGTAGGGAGGCCGGCAGAGAGCAAAGCAGGTCCCAGCCCCTGGGCATGGGTTCAGTAGGGAGGCCGGCAGAGAGCAAAG